TCCCTTCCAACTCTGACAATTCCGTGATTCCGTGAGTCTCATCTTAATATCCTCCAGCAAACTCCTATGGTATGTGCATTTGAATCAAATCTCTGCAGCTTGTCTTGTATCTTTTTAAGATTATATCTGCTCTGACTCCCTTTTTAGAAAGCATTAAGACACATTCAGAATGGAGCATGGTGTAAGGCATTCCAGGTTCACTTACTTTCATACTTCTACACATACTGTATTCTCCTCTACCCTTTCCACCTATCCTTCCCATTACTAACAGCCTGTTTATTTTGTTTTCCTTAAATTGTCTTTTGCTTTGGGGTATGGTTTTTGTAAATTTTCAGAAAGCTCATCTTCTTCTTTATGACTGAAGTGTATTCATCATCATCCAATAACACATAATTCTTTTCTGGAGATGGATGGGAATCAACTGTAAGGTTTTCCATTGCATTCAGAAGAGCTGCCCACTTACACTAGCTGAATACCTTAAGTCTTCAAGCTTATTCATTCAATGTCCTAGATAAAGAGGCATCTGTGATTAGTCAGCAGTGTCTAGCAGTGTCAGTTTGCAAAGTCAGTCTGCAGAAATCATCAGCTTCTTATTCAGAAAGCTGAGTGACTTTGAAAAACTTTATCATTAAAAATATTACTCATTCACCTCAATATGAGCATTAAATTAATGGGGAATTTATGCAAAAGGCAGAAGATGCAGCGTCTTTAGTTTGTGAAAAGCACCCAAGACCATCTTTTACATTGCTGAGAGTGACGCAATAGAACAAGTGTAATAAAAATGAAAAACAGTGAGTTTATGTGGGTGGCATTTAAGGTGGAGAGGTTAGCCTTCATGTTTTGGGGTTGCAGAGAAAGTAATGGAAGAAACTGCTTAAGAATCTTCTTCAGGCTACATTGTTGGAAGGGACTGAATGAAGTCACAATGATCTTTTACAAAGCAAATCCTGAATCTGCTGCCTCTATCCTGATTTATTCTTTCCAGGACCAGGAATTCCAAACTATTTTGTTTGCAGAATGCAATAAGTGCAGGCAAATAGAAAACTTTTGTCCATTGGATTTTATAGATGTGAAATTGAATGGTTTCCTCTTCTACTAATTAAACTTAAACTTAAGGGTAAAATGATATTGTTCCAACTGCAACCATGACAAATAATGGCTTTTGGGTTTGGTCATGTAGTTGTTGAAACAGTTTTAAGCCTAAAAGGACTGCAAAAAAATGATGCATGACAAAGTGTGAGAATAGGAAAATCTCATTGTCACATTGTCTATTGACAGAAGATATACAGTAAGTGATGCAATGGTTTTGGATGTTCTTGTCTTTATTACCTCTTGGGGGAAAAGTTCAGATCATGAAATGAGTTTGGTGCTCTTGAGTGGACATTTGTCCTCATCACAAAACACCCTCATAATTCAGCACGATGTAACAAAATTGGAGAGCTCAAATTGAGGAGGCTTAGAACTAGGAGCAACAGGGAGTGATAAATCAGGCTAGAGGTGCAGGGCAATGCTGCTTGGGGGTGACTTTCACAGCATCTGTGAGACAATGCCATTCTCATTACAAATCATTCTGCCAGGCAGACATCCTACAGAGCTCCACATACTTGAAGGAACACATCAAACTAGAAACAGTGCTGAAAAGGGGGCTGATTACAACTGGTTTAAGACACTACTCTGTTCAACTGCCATTCAATTTATGATAACAGAGATTTTTCATTGTATTAAAGTCATGTTCTGTAACTTTGCCTTTCCTCTGCTAATTTTCAGGGGCTTTTTCAGTCATAAATAACAAGCAGTGTGCATGATGCACACTTGTATAAATAATAGTCCCTGAGGGGGATTTCTAAATATGGCTAACTACTGTAAGTATACTTAATTGAATTATATTAGCATAATTACCTGCGCTAGACATCCATCTTTCAATTGCTAGTACAAATTCAGGCAAACACTGGTACATTCCTATAGCTAACTGCAAACTTTGTGTAATTTGTATGAAATGAATTGACAGTCTTAAGTTTAATTTTTAACACTCGACATTTGTCATCTCAGTATCACTTTCTGCGGTGGCTACAGCAGGTACTTTTGTTTACTGTCTCTACAAGAAAGCCCACTGGCAGCCATTTTGTTTATCACAAATATCACAATCTGGCCCACAGAGACTGTAACATTCAACTTGGGAGAAGACATTGACACAGTTGTAGAGTGTAAATCACCACTGAGAGACACTAAACTCTGCTGAGGCTCATCTATGGCTCGTTGCATATATTTTTTCTGTCTGTCACGATACAAGGAGGGATTAAACATCTAAGAAAGGCTAAGAATGAGAAACACAGAAACTATATATATTATTTATTATATATACTGTTTACATATATATTGTGTGTACACATCATATAATATATATAGCGGACAAAATGAGTATTCCTTCTTTTCATTCTAGCTATGAATTCTTACAACTCAGTCTCAAAATATTATATTTTGTATGTGTAAAAAATGTTTTCAATCATTTGTAAAGACATCAGACTGTTAATGTAGTTCATTAACTGACCATCTGATGGAACACAGGTTTCTGTGCTTAAGTCTTAAGGCTTTTAGGCAAAGCCCACGAAAAGGGAAAAGATAAGTATTCCAATATTCCACGTTGAGTTAAAGCCTTTCCTAGATTACTTCTCAACTAGACACAACATGTGATCTGCCATAACTGGGAAGAAGGGTAATTAACTGCCATATATTATGTATTTGCTGGAGACACTACGGATGTATTTGCAAAGTGTTATTATTTTATTTTATTTATTAGCTAGATTTAATTATAATTCTGGAGGAAGCTGAATTGCAGTCCACCTGTAACACAGTCTGACAGTGGAGTAAGTTATAGCTGCCACCTTCATGGGATTGTAGGCAACACAGCAAAATAAAGTGATAGTTTCCTTCTTCAAATTTTCCGTGCATGATTAGATGAGAGACTAGTCAGAGATGGAAAAGCCTTTAGACACAGAGCTGCTGTTTTGTAATTCTGTCATCTAGCCTTGATAGCTAAATACAATCTTCTGTGATGGGATCATAATGATTAATTAGGTAAAGCAGCTGCACCCAGACTCTTGTACAGTTATGACTTATGTTATTCTCACTGACTATAACCTCTATCAGCTCTGCTCAATTAACCGAGGTTAAATGTTACAGATTATTGAGGAAATGGGTGGTGGTAAATCAGAACAACTTTCCTAATTTAAAAAAAAAAAAATGATCAGGTGTTTCAGAGACAAGATTCAATGCCAAGTATTTACAGCGCCGTTCGCTGCCATAGATACTGGGTGGACAAATCATATCTTAATTTAGCCATCAAAAAGTTAGGCTTGGAGACCAAGCTTCTCTTTAGGGAGTGTCAGATGGTCACCAGAAAGAGGTAGCCATTTCAGGGAGTGAGTCATCCTCTGCTAACCATCCAAGATAGATGGGACAAATCACGAACCAGAGGAACCTCACTCCCCTTATTAACCAAAGAGACCCTCTTAATGACTAGATGTTATGATTAAGATTTGTGTGATCAAATTGGAGTGACATAAATATAGACTTTTCTGCCCACTACATATTCAAATGCCTGAAATTTCCCATGGAAGACATAACAGAAGATCCTCAGAGTGTATGATGCCTCATTCTTCTTAAAGAGATTAACCTTGTATCAATTATATTTCAAAATGTGTTATGGAAGGGCTGATTGCAGGGAACCTGGTGACTTGATTTTTCTGAAAATATGACTATGTAAGCTGTGTCTGTACTAGTAATTTGAACATAATCAGGAAGCCACCCAAGCACATCTATGCAGCTAAACTGGTAAAATGATCCCTAGCTTGCTTTCAGACCACAGCAGGCTAACACTTTTGTAACCAGTTGCTGAGCATGGTGCAGAACATAACATAGTCCAGGGACCACTTCCAACCTCAGTTTGCCTGTGGTAACCCTGCTGTGAAGGCTAAGAGAGTTTAATAACATGGAAAGATGTTGCTTCACGCCAGATGACCTTAGTGTCAGAGGATGGGGATCTTTAATTTATGAATCCATTTAAGGCTTAATCTTAGAGTGTATCTACACCCTCTTCTGCAACCTTTTCTGTATCACGAACTGACCTGAAGCAAGGTACCCCTAAAACTACAGAGCCAAGACAGTGTTGATATATGTCCCTCAGCGGGGTGGGTGAAATGACATAACAACCAATGCTAAATGGTTTTCAATTGACTCAAAGCTTAGGCAACTGCCTGAAAAAGACCAATGAGCATCCCTCAAGGTTTCTCAGGATACTAATTTCTATGGTCTTTTACACATGGAATGACTGCTTCATCCCCCTCTATACAGTGTGCAGCATTGGAACAGTCACAGATGTTTCCCCTTGTAATTTATTGTCTCATAGCTACCATCTGTTCAGTGCAGGCTCCTGTTGTCCCTCCACCAGTACTTAGCTCATAAACTCTTTGGACAAGCACATCTCTTTGTTTCTAGGATGCTTGACCTAAAATCTCTGTGGCAATACAGGTAAAATAATAATAGTAATTACAGTAGTATAAATGTAGACTTCAGCTGTTGGAGGCAGGAAATAGAAAATCACCTTAAATGTGTGTATGTGTTTGTATTCCTCTGGAATAATCTTTCCAAAATAGAAATATAGCCACATATTATCTAACCATATACACAAAGTAGTACTTTTGGCAGAGAATTTTTGACAAGTCAAAAATTATCACTGGATTTTCTTGAAAGGCAGAGAAAGCAGAGAACAAACCACTAGATTTTAATGAACTGAAATTTTTCATGAAACCATAACCTTTTCAAATTTAACAAATCAAACCAAATCAACTGTGCCCCCAGGTAATCCAAAATATAATTAATTTAAACCCTGCAAAATAGTCAAAGAAGAAAAGTGAAAAAAATGAATATTTACTAACGGACATACATGTTTTTCTAATGATATCAGTTATCATTCCAGGACAGACACAAATGACACTGACTACTGGTGTGGTTCCATGGAAATCACAATCTTTATTTTTTGACAAAATGTATGCATGTTTTAATTGTAAAATTTTTAAATAAAGTCAATAATGAAAGAAGCCTCGGGAAAAAAAAAAAAAAGGTTGAGAAGACTATACCTTACTTCATGCCAGCTTTAAAAAGGGATATTTAAAAGACCTGTCCAACTGATCAATCAAATTATTCACTTGGATGGTCAAGGACTGTGAAGGGTAGTGCCTGACCTGATGCAATTCTCTAGTAGCTTGAGGCCTGAATGTTACATTGCAGATGTTATTACGTGCTGAGACAGAGCTGCACAGCTCTAGGGAGGGCTCTGGGAAGTATCAGAGAGACAGTGCCTTTGTGTGCTCCTTGGCAGGACACAGGAGTGTGGCCAATGATGAGACACTGGCCCAGGTTGCCCAGAGAGGTGGTAGATGCCCCATCCTTGAAAATATTCCAGGTCAGGTTGGATGGGGCTCTGAGCAACCTGGTCTAGTTGAAGATGTCCCTGGTCATTGCAGGGGGAGAGGACTAGATGAGCTCTAAAGGTCCTTTTCAACCCAAACTATTCTATGATTCTAATGCACTGCATGGCTGTAGAACACCAGTCTGCTAGCCAGTCCTGGTGAGTATTGAGCAGAGGAGACAAAACAGTAGCCCTGCAGCCTCTGGGCAGCTGGTGCGTGACTTGTGCTATGATTGACAACTCTCCCTGCTAAATGGAAAGGACACTATGAGTGCTCTAGAGGGTCAAAACTGGGAGCCCCCAGCATTCCCTTTGCACCTGGTTCACACAGACACATTTGCGTACACACACATGCAAGCAGGTTGAGCACAGTCTAACCCTAAACCTACATGTGAAAGCAAAGCTGAAGGTCAAATCCTAAAGTCCTTAAGCAGTCAAAATATCCATTGAAAGCAATGCTACTCATTCCTAGGATGGTGAAATGATCCATGTACATAGAGAGGAGGCAATAAGTGCACTCAGCTGGTGGAAGCTGATTCTGCCTTGGATGCTGGCTTAACTCCTAACATTTGAAGACCAGCCAGGGGCCAGGTAAAAAAACCACAGTATTTTTTCCATTCAGATTTTCAGAGAAGGGATGGGAGGGTATGCTAAGTGACTTTATCTATAATACAGAGGAGCCACAGGGCAACTATTAATTGGGCCTTCAAGGAGCTACTTCTGCATGAGGACTGAAGGGAAGGAACTCCAGGACCTGGTCTGGAAGATGCTGTGTCAATGCTGCCTTTTTTGAACTGTTACGTGTTACTGTGGTCAGCTCCTGATGGGTGGCTCATGAGGAATTGCCATCAGGTGGTACTTTCCCTTTTTTTCTTCAAGGATCCCTTCAGTTTCCGCCACAGACTGTCTTTCCTCTTCATCTTCTTCTCTACCATGGGCAGCAAAGACTCTTTCCTTCGAATTTCCCTCACTAGTCCATGAAAGACATCATCAATGTAGAAGCGGAGGGCAGCTGAAGTCTCAAAAAAAGAGCAGGAGTATTCTCTGGCTAAGCTCATTCCTTCTTCAGTCGAAACCTACAAGGAAAAGAAAATTCCATAAATATCGCCTAATTCACAGAACATGAATCAACACGAGAACAATACAATATATGTAGTCTGACTTTTTCGATACTGCAAATTACTTTTACAGGAAAATATTTTAACAGTAGCGAACAGAGAAGGATCAAGAATCAAGGATCAGACTGAATCCAGGAGATGTTTGAACAGAGCATACTGACAATATTCATGTTCTGAGGTATATTATTTCCCTAATTCTGATGCATCAATTTTTCCATGCATTTCCCCCGCTTAGTGCAGCAATCAAGTACAGTTTAATAATGTCGGTACCTTTATTCCACAAACTGGAACGGATGACCAAAAAGCATTACATAGAATTAAGGTCCTAGAAAATCCCTGTTCAGCATTAACCTAATCCTGGAGGCAACTTGACTTTAAGCACACTCTTTAAGCACACCAGCTTAAGATTTTTCATTCACATTAATTTCTGAGGTTGCCTTTAAGTATTTTGGTCTTGGTGGACCTGTAATCCCATCACTTAGCTCATGCCTGAGCTGTGTGAAAATCCCAAATCCACTTGTTTTTCAGCCCATCTTCGCTAAGTAGCGTTGTATACTTACTGTTCTCGGAAAATGTGGAGAAAATGTGTGTTTGTATTTTGAGGAACTGCAAGGGGAGGGATAATCATGAATCTAGAGGAATCCAGGGCAGATCTTTTTTTAATTTGCCTGAATTTTGAAAAACAGGTATCTTATTTGTAAAATTTTCATATTGGCTACCTCTTGGCATTTGACCTGCCAACCTGCCAAATGAAAGGGTGGTCAGCACACTGACTAGTATGTGGTTTAGATAGACTTTAAGTACTTGCATAAGGAGTACTACTGCCTACCACTTGACCTATGTTTTGCACTTTGGGAGCTCATCCAGTAACATGTAGCAAGTCTGTAGCAAAACAAGGAGCAAACCCTATGAGCCTCTAAATGTTAAGCTAGCTTTCCAGCCAGTAGGCTATCTTTTCTTTTCAGTATTTGAACACAAAACTGAATGAATGAATGAATGAACTGTATGAATTAAATGTATTCAAATTCTAGGTCAGAAATTCCAGCCTTTGTTTTTATTTGTATTTGGATATCATGATTTATTCAAGTAAATTACCAACCCTCTAGATAAAAAGACAAAATAAAGTACTTTGAGACAACCTTGTATAAGGCTACATAGTAGGCTGTGAAATTGCTACTGTCTACCACAAGACCTTCACGCACCCAAAAGTGCCATTTATATCTATTAGGGAAATAAACCCTGATGTTTTGAGTTACAAACAAACTCTCTCATACCTGCCGAGATGAAAAAGCTCGTTATAATAAAGTTACGACATCACCATGCATTTCTTGTACCTAACCACAAAGCTGGACAGAGTGTGAAAAAGGATTTTGGATGAAACAGAAAGTCATTTCACTCCAGCCTGGAGGTAAATCTGCACCGAGCATGTACCTGCATGACACAGACCACAGAAATCCTCCCTGTCACCTTTGCATTGAGTCACAAACCTCGTAATGTTAGTAGGATCATTCTTCTATGTTACAGGTATAATCTTAATTTAATTAAGAATATTGTGAGGGTCAGCAGGAATGTTGTAATCCAACCTGAATAATACTCACTGACACAATGAAAGATTGTTACCGCCTTCCAAGTGCTATAATTGCCAGCCTTTAGAAAAAGGAGATGGGTAGCAATATGGTCCTTGTTTTTCTCTGGGCAGCTGTGTAAGCAAAAATGCATGATTCAATATGTCTGTTGGGCACCATTGTGAATTGATTGTCTGGATAGAAGAAAATTTTGGTCTATTTTGGACTTCATAATAATTTTGTTTCCTTGCTATGCCTTGTTTGAGCCAAAGAACGGTTTTTTATTTTATTTTGTTAAAAACACTGCAGTTCTGAGCAAACGATTACACATAGCTACAGTTTCAGTGAAGATTTTACGTATTCATTCCATAAAAGGAAGAAAAATGCACATAAACTGAAAGTTCCTTGTGTTAAAGAATAGTAAGGTTATAAATATAATTAGGTTGTAAGCACAGAAAACCTCAAGAATAACAAAATTGCCCTTCCCTTTGCTCCATGATTTTCTAGTGTTTACACATCTAAATCCTCCTTTGCTCTACTCTTTTTTTCTTTTTTTCTTTTTTTTATTTTTCTTTCTCCTGTCTTTTCTAGGATGAAAACTGTGTTTTCTTCCACCTGCAAGGAAGAACAACTGCAGGGAAGACATGCTATGCTCCGTAATGAAACAAGACTGCTAAGAGCTGTGAGAACTGGAGAATACTCAGGAGAAATAAATTGTACAGAAAAACATCCCTCTTGTCTCTGTGTGGCTGGAGGCTTGTAACTTGGCCAAATTTGGCTAGATTTCTATAAAAAGCAGCAAAAGTTTGTGTTTGGCTCCAGTTTCCTGCCAGATTAAAGACATAAAATTGAAAATATTAATGGCAATGGTTCATTTCAAAGCATGGTATTTTTCTTAAATCTTACCCTCAGGAACTAATTAACTGCTATGGTGAAATTTTATGAACTAATTCAGCATGAGGACACCTGGCAAAAACAATTTCAGGACATTTAGTTGAAGTTGTTCAGCTTCAAGGCTGAAAACAGGTTCCTCTGAAATCTAATGTTGCCATAATTACCACTGCTATTTCCAGCACCAACGAAAATACAGCTATAGCAATGTAATTAATCTGATTGCTGAAGAAATTGTATATAGAGAGAGATGTCTAGAGGAAAAATAGATGTTTTTCTTTCGGTTCATAACTCGGTCAAGAGGCTAGACACCTATGAAATGAGAAACAAAGGATAAAGCTCTTGATGAGGTCACTGACGCCCACGTAATTCCAGGGATTTACCTTGTTCCCATTTTATCACTAAAAGAGAAACTATATCATAAAAATCCATCCTTGATCTGCACAGCTCAGGGACTTGTTGACAAATTGCAGCTTCTGTGGGTTTGTGCCAGAAGAAGATACGATCTGTCAGTGTGACATGAACAGACAGGTCAGGGAACGAGGTCATTCTATTGAATATATATCTGGGAAGCAGGGCTTTATATCTCATCTTTAGAGCAACCCTCTGTGATTGAAACTGGCATTGTTTCCCAGAGTATAATTCTGGTTATATTGATTCCAATTTAGCTTGTTCCTTTGCTGGTAAACTTTAAGAAGGGAATGAAAGTGGAAGACTGGTGTAGTAAGGATAATGAAAAATTAAAATTTAAGAGCTGGCAGAAGCTTCCTGAATCTGATCTAAACTTTAAAAACTCTGATTGCCTTGGGGGGAGGGGCACATGTGTGGATCAGTACTTACAGAAACAAGGCACTGAAGCTTGCAGTGTAACTAAAGAACAAAATCCCCCAGAAGGACAACTCCATTAAATGAAGATGAACACGATGTGTGACCCCCAGGAAAACAGTCTTCTCACATATTCCTTGCAAAATGCATGGTTCTGAGTGTCCATTTGGGTGCATGTGAGTTGAGAGGGAAGACACACCAGTTACAATATCACGGGGGACTGTAGACTGAATTTGGGAGTTTCTCATCTCTTGGTAGTTCAGGGCGGCTGGAACACAGCACAGCTTCATACAGTCTTCACTGGCTACAGACTGCAGTTTACAGCATTAAGATTCTGTTTGTGGTTTTTGCAAACCTCTCTTGGAAAATTACTAGTGAGATTAAATGCAATGCTGACAGCCTGTGAAAGCTGTGATGGATGAGCTGCCATCTTTAAGACAGCTAGTTCCCCACTAAGGTCAGCGCCTACAAAACCAAAAGGAGAGCACAAAGCTACCTGGGCTGGATGGTGGGTGGAGAGGCACTGGCAATCATTGGCCTCCATAGGCAGAACATAAAAATATCTGGAAAGAAAGTACAAAGAAATAAACAGATCAATATTCTACCTCTGCCCTTGGACTGTCATTAGCTGACAGATCTCCATCAGGATGAGAATATTTTTTGTTCAGCTTTGTCTCTCCTTTAGTCAAGGCAGCAACAGAAGCATCCCAAATTAGATTTCATAGACAGAGATCATATTAGCAGAGTTTGCAGCATCACCTTGGGTGAGCCTGTGGTGGTCTTCATGTAGGGAAGCAATGCATTTCCACCTGTGCATCTCATCCTTGCAACAGCATGGTCTACTTGAGATGGCTATTGCAGCTTTCCCTTTGTGACTGGGACCTCAGGGTTGTCATGGAGAACTCCGGAGGCTGCATGTAGAGTGCTAAGGGTTGCAAGGCTTCTCTTAAATTTTTGTTACAGAGATTTCCACCATGACAAACCTCATTAACTTTGCAATGGGAAACGGAGTGATAATTATAGATTCAAAAGCTTTGTTCTGTGAATGTTCTTTGCTGAAAACATGAGGTCTTGATCATTAATCAGAGACAGAAGGGGACACGTGTTGCTTAACACAGTGCTCATCTAAATCCCACTGAGGCTAATAGAAGGAATTCTAGTGGGTTTTGATCAATCTCTATACATTTGTATAGGGAATGACTTATGTGAGTTGTAGACAAAAGATAACCATTTAAGAGCATTGGGGGATGAGAGAGATGCAGCATTTTGAGCAGCCTTGTTTGTAGCACAGCAAATAATAAGAGGAGTAGGAAAAGCCATGAGTACTCTGAATGATGTCTAGGAAAGACCCACACCTCTTCCCTTCATCTCTGGTGGGTTTTCGTTTCCTGAAGACACTGTTGCAGTAAATATCCAGATACCAGGCTGTGTATTAACACCTGGATACCAGTTTAGCGACAAGCAAACAATCCAGAGGAATTCACATAAACATTCACAACCCTTCTCATCACAGTCCATTCCTCCAGAATATGAGAATGTACGTAATAAAGAGCAAACCTATAATATGCCACAGGAAAAAACTGGAGAGATCAAAGGTATTGATGATTTTCTGGGTCTCTGATAACCACATTTGCCAGAAGAAAGGGGAAAAATAATCTCATGGGTCTCGAAAGTGAA